ATATCTCAGGAAACGGCTCTGTTGTTAGTTTGCCTTCTATTGGCATACCTGGTTATTTCCCATTAGCTGGAAAAGGCCCTTATTTATCTTCTCTTCAGATGAGAAGGAATTTATTTGTTTTCAGGAAACAGCTATGAAACTACTTTTCCCTGTCTAGTTCTCAGGTAGTTACTCTATGCTCAGAAATAGTTACATCAATAGAAAAATGGAGCAGGAACTTACTTTTAAGAGTGTTATATGTATGTGTGTGCAGTGCCTGTGGAGGCCAGAAGAGGTCATCAGATCCTCCACAAGTAGAGTTAACAGATGGTTTTAAGTGGCCATGTGGATGCTGTGAGCCATGGTTGTGTCCTCTGCAAGAACAGCAAATACTCTTTACTGCTGAGCCATCTCTCCAGACCCTAGAGTCTTTTCTTCCCCCCAAGACAGGGTTTCTCTGTGTAATAGTCCTGGCTGTCCTGGAACTAGCTCTTGTAGGCCAGGCAGGCCTGGAACTCACAGAGATCTGCCTGCCTCTACCTCCCAAGTGCTGGGATTAAAGGTGTGTACCACCACTGCCCCGCAACCCTAAAGTCTTAAATTCTAGAAGTCTTAACTGTAAAGAACATTTTATAAAAACTGAGCAAAGGTGGAGTTAGCTTTATAATCTAAATTGATCCTTTTTTCATTCTTGAATATTTTATTCAGGGAATAAATTTTAGTTATAATATGTATTTATTTATGCTATAGTTTTTACTCTTAAGTTGAAAATAGTATTTGCACATGAGAGTAAAACCAAATCAACTAAAAATAAGTATGCTATGCTAATTCTCGTCTTCCCTCCCTGTCCCGTTCGTCTTCTCTTTGTGGCCATCGTTTTGTAGTTTAGTTATGCTCTCAGAAACAAAAGAACAAAGGAAAAAAAGCTTTTTGAAATGTACATTTATCAGAGTCATGTGGGCAATTTTGTCTATAATTCTACCTCTCTCTTTCTCTTTCTCTCCCTCCCGCCTTTCCTCCCTTCTTCCCGCCTTTCCTCCCTTCTTCCTTTCCTTCCCTTCCTTCCTTCCTTCCTTCCTTCCTTCCTTCCTTCCTTCCTTCCT